TTACTGATTACGACTTACTGGTCAAGTTTTTTTTGTGTCTTTAAGATTCTATTGGAGACAGTTACAATAAATCCTATGTTGACTTACGACTCTGTTGGACAGTTACAAGTTGCAATTTTTGTGCTTACGCAATTTCTCGCAACTTACAAAGGAATTCGAAAAAATGGAGGATAGCGGCACCTCCACGGGCTGATAAGTCATCATCTCCATGCGCACGTGTCGGGCCAAAGATCCATCGTGGGAAAGATCTGATGCGGCGTCCTTTTCGCATCCTTGCGTCTTGTCGCGGCTTTTGAAGACGCGCCGCGCTGAATTGCGGCGCGCTTCCGCGAATGCGATTCCTCGCAACAACATCGCGCGACATTGATGTCACAGCATAAAAGAGAAAGGTGTTTTATTATACTTAACAAATAGAATTGGCGATTTTGTCAACCCTCGGCGATAAAAAGGAGCACTGAGCGATGCGCGTGAAGTCTTTGATTATGCTGATGTAATTTAAACATCAAGATTCGCGCGACACGATCGAATCCACACATGGGGGAATGATCCACGGAGAGATAAGTCCGCAATTGTTAAATTTACAACTCGTGTAAATGGGCAAAGAAATTTGTACGAATACGGTAAAGCGCAAAAACGCGCACGCAACTGTCGTAAGATTCGATTCTTCGCTCGGATAACTCAATCAGTTCTGCAGGATCGAGCCAATATGTATAAGAGCAATATGAGTTTTGTCCGTTATCAACGGATACTGGCTGATAACGTGGTACAATCTCATTTGAAAATGCTTGCTTGGCATGTATCGCATATCGAAGTGAAAGTAAAAACGAAAAGATTTAAAAAATTAGCGGATATATACCAAATAATGAAATAAAATGCTACGAGAGAGTCATTTTTTTTACTTAGAAACATTACATTCATAGATTATTTTAAAATAAGATCACACGAGATTCTTTAGAATGCGCACCATCGATTGCGCGAATTTGTACACAGATCGCGACAATCATAAAATAAAGAACTGCTGCTGTCAGAATTGTTAATCATTAATCAAAGACGAAGTTAAATAATTTTGTGTCGGTTTGTACCAATCTTATTCACCTAGCTTTTTTCTTCTCACTCATCATGTATTGACCCATACTATGTTAAGTCACACGTTTATTTTTTTATAGAACTTCTGCATCTAATTATGCAACATAATAATTACAGATTAAATGACTTTGTACATATACTTTCGTAATTATCGTACTACAATATATGATGATATAATTTGCATGTTGGATTCCAAACAATTTGTATATTGATTTGAAACTAGAATGAAAATGTATCAATTAACGAAAATTATGTGAGATGCGTTTCTCTAAAGTAATTCCATTATTAAGATCATCTTTGATGAAGATTAAAATCTCATTATTGCGAGCGAATCTTATTTAATTTATGCTGCACGTGGAAGAAGTTTTTTTGTACGTGGTACATATATGTGTAGCACTCTGATCAAGAAACATGATGTAACGCGTTATAAACATAATAATAAAACGTATTGATGTTTATTTCACACTTTTCTAAGTAAAGTTTCTCTATGTTGACAATTTCTTATTCAAAAAACAAATTGTAATTTTGTATTATACATAGAAATTAAAAATAAATATAATTTTTGTACAAAATAAAAAAAAAGATTTCGGAAAAAAAGATTTGATAAAAGATTTTAATTTAGATGCCATTGATATCAATTTTAAATATTCGATAAGTGTACGCTTTTTTAATATGTTTAATACACATGATTTTTTATCTTTTACAATCTTTTATACATTATTTACAGAACAAATTGGGAAAGCTGTAAGCTGTGGCTGTGGCTCAGTTGCGATTTGAAGAGCGAGCCGACTCAATCGCGGAGTGATCCCCGAAGAAGTGGACATCGCGTTAACAGAGCTGACATTCATCTTATCGAAACGCTTTCTGCACAGACTGTACATTGCTAAGTCCGTCGTTCGACTCCTACCAAGATTAAGGTAATGCTCGGCTGATATGATACAATAGTTATGTAGTCTTTTCAGTTCTCTATGGTGCTTCCGCTGGATGGCCGCGACATTCACGAGACCTTAGAATAATATCTGAAGTCGTAGAGAAAGAAAGGTACGATCCTATATCATCCCTTGTCACATGACTCGCATAATATTACTCATTTAGATGAAGATTAGATTAAATGAGAAAATCAAATGGAAACAAAGAAAACTTACATCTCTGAGAATCAGAAATCTTAAGGAGAATTACGACACACACACTTTTACAATAGTTTACTTTCATATATAAATCCTGCATCACAAATCTTGCGACATTAAGTTTATAAAAATTAATTTAAAACATCTAAAAAAACCCCATAAGAAGATATAAAGATAAATATCCTTTTATGCAAAAAGTCAAAAAGCTCACCGTAGCGTAAGATGAAATTTTTGGTTTCCACTATGGGAAACCACTACAATCACCAGTGGAAGAGGTCGTGCAGAGACTGAAACAATAAAATAGCATATAATTAGAATTAAATTTTGCATTAAAGTTACATCTAATAATCTCAAGCTTTCATCATATGAAAGAAATCGTATTTTTTGTAAAATTAGCTAGATAAGCAATTCTCATCATGGTTGCATGTATTATTCTTTGTCTATTAAATGCATTGTTCGCTTTATCATCAAATTAGTATTTACTATCGTGTCATTCTGTGTCCTACTTGGCAAAGATCTATACTTCGTCCAAATGTAACTTTTGTGAGAAATAACTGTTGCAACATTGTGTCTAAACTGAGAAAGTTTTTGCAGTGATAGAATCATAATTATAGAAATCATATCAAATAGAAATTGTTTGCCATCGAATAATATCTACAGTAGAGAAATCCTAGAAAAAAAATAAAGAAAAAGGTATGGTAAAGAGGAAGATGAGAAAATCGCAAAACGAAGTCTTATCAGAGTTTATCTCTCTCTCGTTTTTTTAGGTTATAAGGATATTATATCTCAGAGAGAGATACCCGGTGCAAAGTACAAGGTACGCGTGATTACAAGATACTTTAACTGCCCCGGGTATACCTGTCCGCCCCTCCCTGCGTGTTTTCACAGGCGGGGTAGACGATAAAAGCCCGCGAGCGATTCGGATTACAGTCGAAGGATTAGATCAGCTGTTGACGTCGCGAATCGACGACGCATGCATCTACGTTTACGGAGCCGATACCTCGCGGATCACAAATTTACGAGACGATTTTCATGTAAAGAAACTCAACGGTGACTGTGCTCCTTTAATGTATCGATTGAATTATTTCCGCAGTAACCTCAGGCGAACTTGAACGGAATTAGGTTAAAGGACAGCGTCTCGTCCTCGCGTCGCCAGGACGGGACACGGAACGGTGGATTCGATCGCTTACCGTGCGTCGATGTCTGCCGCACATTCTCGCTCGAGAAAATATACAAGGAGATACGCGTCAACGCTACCGCGTGCACGTTCACGTCACTGACATTTCTCCGTGAAGCACCGGGACACAGCACCGTACAGTTACACTCTCGCGCGTCGCGTTCGCTTCCAGGACCGTGGCGAGTGGACCGAATGACGTGAAGCGAGTCACGAGACGAAATGAGTTGAAGGACGCGCGCGGACGAATAAACGAGCTAAGAGGCGCCAGGCCGTGGCCGCGTCACGGCAGACCGACGTCGAAAGTATCACGTTAAATATAGGATGCAAAATCGTGATGCCTACGCGATCCGCGAGCGCCTCGCGGGATGCGCACATCGAGCGATATATTCGGCGCCGTTTATCGCCTCCTGCCTGAAGTTAGACGCTTTACGACACTCTACGATCCGAACGCTTCGTGTCTTGATACTCTATGCATCGTGACTATAGATTTGTAGATAGACCGCGCGCGTTTCTGTTGAAACTTTAATTAGCACTATTAAGATAATAATGATTCAGATACTTTTCGTAACTAATTTTACAATTAACGGGGAGGAAGAAAGTAAGAAAAGCAATTGCCTTCTTTACTTTTTAGGCCGGTATTCATAATGAATTCTTATTTCAAGACAGTATAAAGCCTGTTCTACAATTGCGTAAGCAAATTAGTTGAAAATGATTGAAGTTGTAAGAATTAATCAGTCATAGTCAAATACGAGGGGAATATTTGATTGATTCATCAATTCTTATAAATACAGTGACTGCGTTTAGACAGAAAAAGCAACTTTTGCAACTTTTGTAAAATTCTTTAATATGATTGGTTTATATAGTTAGATTCAGCGAAGAATTAAGAGCAAGACCAATCATATTAAAGAATTTTACAACAGTTGCTGTTTTTTCTACTGAATGCAGCCAATCAGTTATGACAACGCTTACACATTTGTAAAATAAGCTTAATGTTTTAATTACTTTAAAATAGATGTACAGCACATTTG